GTGAGATGATATCTCATTGTTGTTTTGATTTGCATCTCTCTAATGGTTAGTGATCATGAACATTTCTTCATATGTTTGTTGGCTGCCCGGATCTCTTCCTTGGTGAAGTGTCTGTTCATGTCCTATGCCCACTTTTTAATTGGGTTATTTGTCCTTTTGTTGTAGAGGTCAGGCTTATTTTTATTTATTTTTTTCTTGATATTTATTTGATTTCCTCTTCATTTGAAAGTTCTTTAATTGGATTATTCTCTCTTTTTACTTTATGTTTGTTGTTGCTGTTATTCTGGTTCTCTCCTTTCAGTCTTACCTATCTGTTTTACTTTTCATACTTATATATCTAGATTGAGTCTAGGAAATATCATCATGTATGTTAATCTCAGGTTGTTGTCTGCTACTGTTGTTTCTCAGTCCAAAGAACTCCCTTTAGTAATTTTTTAACAGTTGATCTGGTTTCCAAAAAATCCTTGAATTTCTGTTTATTTGAAAATAACCTAATTTCACCATCATATTTTATGAACAGTTTTGCTGGATATGTGATTCCTGGTTGGCAATATTATTTTTTCTTTCAGAGTTTTTTTATATGTCATTCCATTGTCTTCTTGTCAGCATGGTTTCTTCTGAGAAATCAGAGTTTAGTTTTAATAGATTTCCTTCATAGGTAACTTCTCATTTTTCTTGAGCTGCTCTCAGGATTCTTTCCTTGTCCTTGACTTTGAAAAGTTTGATTATAATATGTCTTGGTGTTTTTCTTTTGGGGTCTATCCTGCTTGGAGTTCATTCAACTTCTTGGCTATGTTCTCTTCATTCATGATGTCATGGAAATTTCTTCCAACAACTCTTGGACAATAGTCTGTATGTTTTTTTTTGTTTTTTTTTTTTCTGTTGTTGTTGTTGTCTCTTCCTGGTCTGGAATAATTATCACATGCAAATTATTCCTCTTGACACTTTCCCACATAAATCTTAGGCTTTATTCAGATTTTTCTGTTGTTTTTTTTCTGATTGTTCCTCTCGCAGATAATTACTGAGAGATTTTCCTTCAAGTTCAGTAATTCAGCTTTCCATTGTATCAATTCGATTTTTTGTCCTTTCAGTGTATTATCTATTTCTAAAGTCTTAGCATTGGAATATAAGGAACCACAAAGAAAATTCATACTTCATAACACACCAAGAAAATAAAAATCCTAAAAGAACATGGAAACATTAAGACTTTGAGAAAACTGACAAGAAAAAACACATAAAATCTTAGTATTATTCTCTGCTTTTCTAATTGTTGTTTTATGTATTTCCCATTTTATCAATTTGAATCCTGATTATTTCCATAGTTTTATATGTTTTCCTTGATTTCATTTGTAGTTTTCTTTCAATTAGTTGAAGTTTTCTAATTAGCATTCTTTTAAATGCCCTATGAGATAGTTCTGATACAAATTCTGGTCTTATACTTGCTGACTCAATTTTGGTGATTTGTTTAACGAACTCTGTCTAGTTTGTGTAAATTGAAACTGTGTTTTCTCAATGACTTGTCTGTCAGTTTGCCATATTACAGTGACTTGCATGTTGCTGTGATTCTGAAATCTATGCCACCAGTATTTTAAATGCCATCAGGGTCACCCATGGTGGACAGATTTCAGCTAAGCTTCTAGACTAAGACAGACTAAGAAGAAGGAGAGATTAACTACTTCCAAATATTTAGTCACTGAAAACCTTATGAATAGCAGTGGAACATTGTAAGATAGCACCAGAATATTGAATATTGAAACATGATGAAGAGCCCCAGAATACTATCAGATATAGTACAAGAATATGGTCCCTTAGTTTGGAAGGCACTCAAAATATGACTGGGAAAAGCTGCCTCCTCAAAGGAGAGTAGGCCTTGATAATGCAAATGGAGTAAACCTTTCAGGACCTTCATTTGCTGGTGGGGCACAGCTCAAAATGAGGGAAACAGGGTGTACACATCCATTAATAATCAGAACATGGAGTGTACAAAATATGAAACTAGGTAAATAAGAAGTTGTCAAAAATGAAATGGAATGCATGGATCTTAATATCCTTCGGATTAGTGAGCTGATACAAACTGGTATGGTCATTTTGAATC